GGGCAATGGTGAGCTCGGTGGGGCAGCGAGCGAGGAAGTGGTCCCTGACTGAGCGCAGCGAGTCAGGGAGGCGCGTGACTAGGTGGTAGAGAGTGATCCAGAGCGGGGGTGGGTTCGTGGCGAGGAACTCATCAGGCATAGCGGCGCGGAAGCGAGCCTCACTAGTGCGGAGGTGGGTAATGAGGTCAGCGACAGTGTGAAAGGAAGCTAAGTCGGGGAACAGGTAGGGAAGAGAGAGACGGCCTAGAGCAGCAGAGGCCGGTGAGGAGTAGCGGGCAACGACAGCAGTGTACAGTGCCTGTGCAGTCTTGTGCTGCCCAAAGTGCTCGCGCTCATCTATCGGCAGAGAGTTGCGGATAGCGAAGCGAGCATGGGCGTCACAAGTCTGCCACTGTGAGCGAGCAGTGCTGTCGGCAGTAGCAGCAGGAGCAGTAGCGTGGCCTAGGGCGTGATCGTACAGCGAGATGTCTTCCTTGGCAGTGAGCTGTAGGAAGAGGTGTAGGTCATCAAGCCAGGTGTCGAACTTCACTGGGCGCCCCTCAGCATCGAAGGCTAGCACTGGAGGGCTAGCCATGGTAGCAGCAGTAGTAAAAGCAGTAGGAGCAGTAGGTAGGTAGGGCGGCGCGGCTCGGTACAGGTAGGGCGGCGCGGCTCGGTATAGGTAGGGCGGCGCGGCTCGGGTCGGGCGGCGCGGCTTGGTTCGGGCGGCTCGGGTCGGGCGGCGCGGCTCGGGTCGGGCGGCTCGGTTTGGGCGGCTCGACTCCGTTAGGGCCGGGCTGTTTGGTGCGGGCGGCGCGGTCTAGGTGGGGCCGTTCGAGGCAGCTAAGGGGAGCGCGGGGAGCGGGTGGGGTTGGGGACGGGGCCGACGCGGGCCGAAAGGGGTAGGGACGGGGCCGACGCGGGCTGTAAGGGGTAGGGACGGGGCCGACGCGGGCTGTTAGGGGTAGGGACGGGGCCGACGCGGGCCTCTAGGGGTAGGGACGGGGGCCGACGCGGGCCTCTAGGGGTAGGATCGGGGCCGTCGCGGGCCTCTAGGGGTAGGGACGGGGCCGTCGCGGGCCTCTAGGGGTAAGGACGGGGCCGTCGCGGGCCTCTAGGGGTAGGCTCGGGGCCGACGCGGGCCTCTAGGGTAGGCGCGGGGCCGACGCGGGCCTCTAGGGGACGAGCTCGGGGCCGACGCGGGCCGTTAGGGTTAGGCGCGGGGCCGATTCGGGGCCTCTAGGTGCAACACCGCGGGGCCTACAGGGCCTCTAGAGGCGTGAACGTCGAGGCGCCCTAGGGCAGGTAGGCAGATAGGCAGGTAGGTAGTGGTGGGCCCTTAGGAAAAACGGTCCTAGGAAGGACCTACTCTGATACCATGTTGAACAAGGAATGAAATGACTAAGAATGAAATGAGTACAAATATGGAAACCTAGAAGTGTGTACCCCCTATAGGCTAACCCATTGTAGCCTAAACAACTACAACAATATATATAATGTTTGACAAAACAGAGGAAGAACGGAGTCTCTCCTGCTGCGGCATGCTTCGCATTGTTGTAGGCGAACTCCAACATAAACAAGAGCAAGTCCCACTTGCTAATGTCATCCTTGCACGCTGCGCGCAAGAGTTGTTCCACAATCTGGTTCAGGCGCTCTGTCTGCCCATCGGTCTGGGGATGATATGTAGATGACATCGGAAGACGTGTCCCCATGAGCGATATGAGCTCCTTCCATAACTTGCTAGTAAACTTGGGGTCCATGTCAGATATAAGGGTTTGTCGGGATCCCGTGCTGTGAGATGATATGTTTGATGAATACTTGTGCCATTTCCTCCGTGCATACAGTTGTATGCGTCGGAATGAAGTATCCCATCGTTGAGAAATTTTCAATGACGACCAAGATGGCGTCATGCCCCGCTATGGTAGGTGGTAACCCAGTGATGAAGTCCAAGCTGACCACTTGCCGAGGCTGTTCCGGGACAGGCAGAGGCTGAAAAAGTCCTGCTTTCTTTTGCTTACTACTCTTCATTCGTTGGCATGTGTCCCACGAAGTGACGAACTTCTGCACGTCGTCTGCCATGTGAGGCCAGTAGTAGACTTTTGTAATCCCGACAAGAGTCTTGTTACTCCCGAAGTGTCCAGCGTAGAGCATGTCATGGAATTCTTCGAGAAGTAACTGCCAAAGAGGTGGGTATTTGGGTACCCATATATTTGTTGATCCTTTGCATAGTGCGATGTCGTGGTCCCACTGCAACAATTTCTTCTTCTCTGCTAAGGGAATCTCAGGGTCGATGGTATACCCGTGCGTGACAAGTCCCGTAAGTAGCGGATTCATCCCCTCAATCTGTATGGCGGCAACGTATCCATGCCGGCTCAGTGCGTCTGCCTTATTCGTGTGTCCCGGCTTGTACACGATGTCGTAGTCGAAGTGCGTCTTGAGGAAGTTGATCCACCGGACTTGTCGTCTGGAGAGGGTCGGCAGTGTCTTTAGGTACTTCAGACTACAATGGTTGGTGTAGACCGTGGTTTTCCTTCCGTTGAGGTAGCATCACCCCATGTTTTGAATGCGGTGATGATTGCCAATGCCTCTTTGTCGTGAATCAGGTAGTTAAGTTCTGCCCCATGCATTTTTTTGCTCAGGTAAGCGATTGGTTGAAGTCCCTTCCCTTGGTCTTGCATCAAGAATGCTCCAACTACTTGGCCGCTAGCATCAGCTTCGATGACCTGGTCTTTTTTTGGATCTGGCAGGATCAGGACGGGTGCAGATGTGAGTGCGCTCTTCAACTCCTCCGTGGCTTGATGGTGCACATCCCCCACTCGAACGGTGTATTCTTCTTTGGTAGATTGGTGAGAGGTGTTGCAATCTTTGCATACTGTGGCACGAACCGATTGTAGTAGTTTGCAAAGCCAAGGAATTGCTGAAGTTCCTTCATGTTTTCTGGTGTCTTCCACGTACGTATGGCTTCGATCTTCTTTGGGTCCACATGTACACCTTGAGCGCTCACCATGTGTCCAAGAAACTGAACTTTCTTCAATGCGAACTCGCTCTTAGATAACTTGACATAGAATTTCTCCCGTCGAAGTATCTCAAAGACGCGTCGTACATGTCCCTCGAGTAGATCATGATATCGTCCAGGTACACCAGCACGCATTTGTCGAGCAGAGGCCTGAGAATGTGGTTCATTTCGGCTGGAATGTAGCGGGTGCGTTGGTGAGTCCGAACGGCATGACGAGGTACTTGTAGGATCCGTATCGTGTCCGAAACACCGTCTTATGGATGGAGTTATCCACCATTTGGATTCGCGAATATCTCGATAACACAAATCGAGTTTTGTGAATACCGTGGCTCCCCGAAGGCGGTCAAATAGATCGTAGATCCGTGGAATCTGATACTTGTTCTTGATCGTCTGCTTATTGAGGGCTTGGTAGTCGATGCACATGCGTAAGCTTCTGCCAGGTTTTGGCGTGAAAAGCACTGGTGCACCGTATGGTGATGTCGAAGGTCTAATGAGTCCCTTGTCTAGGAGGTACTCAATCTGCTTCTTCATGTCAGCCAACTCAGTAGGGCTGAGTCGATATGGTGCTTGGAAGGTTGGTTTTAAACCAGGTTCTTCAATGATCTCGTGCTGGTGGGTTCGGTATGCCGGCAACTGGTCTGGAAGGTCGTCAGGGAGAACGTCTTCGAACTCCTCTAGAAGTTTCTGGATTGCTGGTGGAAGCTCGGGTCTCTTCTTCTCTCCGTCGTCCTCGTTGGTAACCAGTGCAACGAACCCTGTCATGGTTCGCTTCACGTCCTTCTTGAAGCGTGCGAGAGTCTCCTCCGAAATGTCTCCCGTGTTGCTCCAACTCGGAAGCTGAACTCTTCTGTCTTGATTGTAAATACTCGCCGTGCGGGTGATGTCAAACTTATATGCTATGGTCTATCTAGGCTGTAGTGGGGTAGACACTATAGGGTACAACATTTCTAGGTTTCCTAATTGAACCCACCTGCTTGCTAGTTCATTCATTCCTCATTTCTTCACATGGTATAGAGCAGGTTCCCTAGTGGGAACGCTTCTCAGGGCCCACCACTGAAATCGACTTTTTTTTCTGACCGGAGCGCGAGTCGCCCCTGCCCGAGGCGCGCCCCGTTGGCCGCCCTCACGTCGTGTCCTCTGCCCTTAGTGGCCTGTCGCGCCCTCCCAGAGACCCCTCCCACGGCCCCTCGCGCCACCCTTAGCGGCCCCGTCGCCACCCCTTACGGCCTCGTCGCCGTCCTTTGCGGCCCCATCGCCGCCCCTCTAGGCCCCTCGCGGACCCTTCGCAGCCCCGTCGCCGCCCCTCTAGGCCCCTCGCGGCCCCTTCGCGGCCCCGTCGCCGCCCCTCTAGGCCCCTCGCGGCCCCTTCGCGGCCCCATCGCCGCCCCTAGCGGCCCCGTCGCCGCCCTTCGAGGCCCCAAGCGGCCCCTTTGCGGCCCCGTCGCCGTCCCTAGCGGGTCCGTCGCCGCCCCTATCGGCCCCGTCGCCGCCCCTAGCGGCCCCGTCGCCGCACTTCGCGGCCCCGCAGCCGCCCCTAGCGGCCCCGTCGCCACCCTTAGCGGCCCCGTCGCCGCCCTTCGCGGCCCCGTCGCCGCCTCTAGCGGCCCCGTCGACGCCCTTCGCAGCCCCGTCGCCACCTCTAGCGGCCCCATCGCCGCCCTTCACGGCCCCGTCGCCGCCTCTAGCGGCCCCGTCGCCGCCCTTCACGGCCCCTTCGGCCGCCAAGCAGCCGAGCCGCCGAGCTACCGAGCCGCCGAGCCGCCGAGCCGCTGAGCCGCCGAACCGCCGAGCCGCCGAGCCACCCAGCAGCCGAGCCGCCCAGCAGCCGAGCCGCCAAGCCACCGAGCCGAGCCACCGAGCCGCCGAGCCGCCGAGGCCGCCGTCGAGCCGCCACTACAGAGCCGCTGCCGCCGAGCCGCCGTTGAGCTGCTACTAATCCTACCGGCGCGCCCCGGCCCTACCCATCCAGACTGGTGAGAGCACTCCCTGCCAGACCACTGCTGTCATGGCTACCCCCAGTGTCCTTACCTTTGATGCTGAGGGTCGTGCTGTTGACTTTGAGGTCTGGGTCGATGACCTCCAGCTCTTCCTACAGTGCGATAGGGCAGACGGACTCTCCCTGCTCGATCTCACCTCTGGTGCCTCTACTGCCCCGCCTGCTGATGCTGACAGCACTGTTCGCTCACAGTGGGCCACACGTGATGCTGCTGCCCCTCTTGCTGTGCGTCGCCACTTACCGACCGCTGAGCGTGCGCACTTTAGTCAGTAAAAGAGTGCTAAGACCTTGTACGACACTGTAGTTGCACGCTACTCTTCCCCTGCCACTGCTGCTCTTAGCCGCCTCATGCTGCCGTACCTCTTCCCTGACCTTGCTGCCTTTCCCACAGTCGCTGACCTCATTACGCACCTTTGCACTAGTGACACTCGCTACCGCGCTGCGCTTCCTGCTGATTTCTGTGCCAAGAACCCTCCCCCTATGTACATCACCCTCTACTACATAGTCACCCGGCTCCCTGACTCCCTTCGCTTAGTAGGACCACTTCCTCTCAGTTTGCCCCACCACACTCACCGTTGACCTCCTCGAGGAGCGCCTCCTGGCAGTAGAGAAGAGCATAGTCGCTGTAGGAGCCTCTCGTGGTGACCCCCGTACCCCCGTCTTTGAGGGGTGTTCCCCCTCACCCTTCTTGCCCTCTGTTGTTTCTGCTGCTGCGACTGACCTCCTTGGCTTCGAGTTGGTCAACGCTGCGTCTGCCCCTAGCGGGAGACGCCGCACCGGCAAGGGCAAGGGGGTCAAGGGCGCTGGAGGGGCTGGCGGGGACGGTGGAGGTGGCGGTGGAGACAATGGAGGGGGTGCGGGTGGTGGTGGGAGTGGTGACGGGGGTGGAGGTGTCGGTGGCAGCAGTGGAGGCGGAGGAGGCGGCGGCGGTGGTGGTGGGAGCGGAGGCGGCGGAGGTGGCGGAGGCGGCGGCGGCGGCGGTGGAGCTGGTCGCGGCTCTACGCAGAGGAGTGGCTCCGGTGGTGGTCCGCGCCACCAACAACAGCGCACTCGTGAGACCCCGTCCCCCCAGCAGCTTCGTGGGTGGTACGCTGGGCGTCAGCGAGGTGGGGGTACTGGTCCCTGTACCTACGTCCTCCGTACCGGTGACCGCGCTGGTGAGCAGTGCGGGGGCTCGCACTCCACCCAGCGCTGCTTCGGCCGCCTGACGGACGCTTGGCGTCACCAGTTCCCTGACGCCACTGAGATCCCTCGCTGGGGAGAGCTGTCTAGGGCGGGGGTTGCTATCTTTGATCTTGACTATGATGCTATTCTTGTTGCCATGTATGCTGGGTCTAATAGTGATGAGGGTGACTGTTACCTGTGTGTTCCGCCTGACCCGGGCATTGAGGCTGCTGCTCTAGGTGCTGGTGAGGCTGCTGCTCTAGGTGCTAGTGCGTCTGGTGCCCCAGGTGCTGGTGAGTCTGCTCTCTCAGGTACCACGTCGGCTCAGGCCTTACACACCTTCACCCTTGACTCGGGTGCTTCCCGCTCCTTCTTTCAAGACCGCACCACGCTTACGCCGCTTAGTCGGCCGGTTGCGGTCTCCCTGGCGGACCCCTCTGGGGGTCCTATCCTTGCTCACTTCTCCACTGTCTTACCGTGTCCGGCAGCCCCCTCTGGCACCCTGTCAGGTCTCTACCTCCCCTCGTTCTCTACGAACTTGGTGAGTGGTGCTGATCTACAGGATAGGGGGGTTAACTAGTTCACTCCTGCGACTCAGCGGGTGACCCACTGTACGTGTGCTCGGACGGGCCGACACTTGGCCACGTTTACCCTTCGGCCGGGGTCGAGCCTGTACACACTGACTACTGAGTCTCCTCCGGTTGCTGAGTCTGGTCAGGTAGCTGCGTCGAGTTAGGTGTTTGCTGCAGCGTCCAGGTCTGGTCCTGAGTCTGATCCCTACATGTGTCGTCTCCTGTCCCACCAGACTCTCCTTTGGCACCACCGCCTTGGCCACCCCTCCTTACCTCGTCTCCGAGGCATGGCCTCCCGTATCCTTGTCTCTGGTCTCCCCCGGGCCCTCCCTCCCCTCCCTCCAAGGCCTGCCCCTACCTGCGTTCCCTGCGTCGAGGGGCGGCAGCGCGCCGCCCCTCACTCCTCCGTGTTTCCTCCGACAGAGGCTCCCCTGCGGACTCTTCACATGGACGTGTGGGGCCCTGCTCGCGTCCGTGGCCAGGGTCACGAGCGTTACTTCCTGTTGGTGGTTGACGACTACTCGCGTTACACCACGGTGTTCCCCTTGCGCAGCAAGGGTGACATCACTGAGGTGTTGATCGACTGGATCCGCACGGCTCGTCTCCAGCTCAGAAAGAGTTTCGGCTCGGACTCTGACAGAGGCAGGGAGTTCTCCTCTGCCCGTGTGGGAGCCTTCTGTCGTGCACAGGGCATCCGCCAGACCTTCACGCTTCCGGCCTCTCCACAGCAAAATGGGATTGCTGAGCGCCGCATTGGCATGGTCATGGACGTCGCTCGTACGTCCATGATCCATGCGGCTGCTCCCCATTTTCTGTGGCCGTTTGCGGTTCAGTACTTAGCGCATCACCTCAACCTTCAGCCCTGGTCTCCTTGCCAGAGACCTCCCCCACCTTGCGGTGGACGGGGAAGGTTGGCGATGCATCTGCGTTTTGTGTCTGGGGATCTCGGGCGTTTGTCCGCGACTTGTCTGCGGACAAGCTGTCCCCCCGTGCTGTTCCCTGCGTCTTCCTTGGCTTCCCCCCCGACGCGCCTGGTTGGCAGTTTTACCACCCCACCTCGCGCCTTGTTCTGTCCTCCCAGGACGTCACCTTTGACGAGTCGGTGCCTTACTACCGTCTCTTCCCCTACCGCACTGCGCCCCTCCCCCCGCCGCCGCTCTTCCTTGCACCAGGTCCTCCCTCGGTAGACCCTCTCCCCCCTCAGGGTCCAGCCCCGTCAGGTGTGTCCCAGGTAGACGCAGTCAAGCCGGTCAAGGTAGCTGTTGACTCTAGTGCTGCAAGGGGTACTGAGCCTGCGGGTGCCGGGTCTGGGGGTGCTGAGCCTGGGGGTGCGGAGCCTGGGGGTGCTGAGTCTAGGGGTGCTGAGCCTGTGGGTGCCGAGTCTGGGGGTGCTAAGCCTGGGGGTGCGGAGCCTGGGGGTGCTGACTCTTGGGGTGCTGAGCCTGCGGGTGCCGGGTCTTGGGGTGCTGAGCCTGGGGGTGCGAAGCCTGGGGGTGCTGAGCCTGAAGGTGCGGAGCCTAGGGGTGTGGAGCCTGGGGGTGCTGGGTCTGCTCGTGTGGCCTGTGGCGGTGCGTCGTCGAGGCGGGAGCCACCCTCTCCGCAGGAGCTGCGCGAGTGGTTTGCCCGGCGCTGGAGCCATGCTGCTGGAGCTGGAGGTGCTACTATTGCTGCTGGTCCTAGAGGTGCTCCTACTAGAGGTACTGGAGCTGCTGGGACTGGGGGTGCTGCTGGGGCTACTGGAGTTGGTCCTGTTGGAGGTACTGCTGGAGCTTCTGGCGGTACTGGAGCTGACGGTCCTGCTGGAGCTGGAGCTGCTGGAGCTGGAGCAGTTGGGGGTGTTGGCGCTGGAGGTGCTGCTGGCGCTGGTGCTTCCGAGGGTGCTGGAGTTGGCGCTGTTGGAGCTAGAGGTGCTGCTGGCGCTGGTGCTGCCGCTGGGGGTACTGGTGTTTTTTCTGCTGATTCTGGAGGCGCTGCGCGGCCGCGGCCGTACTTCGTTCCACTCCTTGAGCTGGTTCTTGGTCTCCCGCCTTCTACTGGTCCTGCTCCTCCCTTAGAGTGTCCACAGCCTATCCAGTCGCGGTCACAGTTACAGCCCGCCTCCCCCCTGCCTGCTCCTTCTCCCTACACTGGTCCTACTGGAGGTCTTGCTGAGCGTCGTGAGCCTGCGTCTCATCTGCGTCGCCTGTTTGTGCTGCTCGCACTAGTAGTCGTGCTCCGCGTCCGCGTCCTCCTGCGGTCCTAGGCACACACCAGATGACATTGCGTCCTTCCACTGCTCCTCTGCGTGTCCCGTTGCCGTCTCCTCCAGAGTCCTCTCTTCCTGTCCTTGCTGACTCGGAGTCTGACTCTCTTTTTGTTGCCAATCCTACTGTCACACATCTCCTGGCTACTGTTGTCACTCACCCTTCCTTTGAGTCCACTGCTGCGTCTGCCTTGGTTGCTGAGCTTGTCGACTTTGCTGCTCGATGTCGTCTAGACTACGCTGCTAGTCTTGTTGCTGAGTCTGAGTCTGTCTGTCCTCCGTCCGTCGGGGGTGAGTGTGCTCTTAGCACGGACGTCCTTGAGGACAGGCAGGAGGAGTTCCAGTGTTTTGCGGCTGCTTTGCCTCATCTCGTGTCCACGCTGATTGCCCCTGAGGGAGACCCGGATGCACGAGACATCCCGACTCCTCGATCGTACGCTGAGGCGATCGAGGGTCCCTACTCTTCACAGTGGCAGTCAGCCATGGACGCAGAGATGGCTTCCTGGAAGTCCACAGGCACCTACGTCGACGAGGTTCCCCCACCTGGGGCGAACATCGTCAGTGGCATGTGGATTTTCAGGGTGAAGCGGCCGCCGGGTTCTCCGCCTGTCTTCAAGGCGCGTTACGTGGCTCGAGGCTTCAGTCAGCGGCAGGGAGTTGACTACTTTCAGACCTTCTCTCCCACCCCGAAGATGACCACTCTTCGGGTGCTGCTGCACATAGCCGCTCAGCGCGACTACGAGCTTCACTCTCTTGATTTTAGCACAGCTTTCCTGCAGGGCAGCCTGCACGAGGAGGTCTGGCTACGCCGCCCACCTGGCTTCACTGGGTCGTTTCCCCCTGGTACCAAGTGGAGCCTCCGGCGGCCAGTCTACGGTCTCCGCCAGGCGCCCCGTGAGTGGCACGGCACACTGAGGACTACACTTGCGGCTCTTGAGTTTGCTCCTTCTACTGCCAACCCGTCGCTGTTTTTACGCACCGACACCTCTTTGCCGCCGTTCTACATCCTTGTGTACGTCGACGACTTGGTCTTTGCCACTGCTGACACTGCTGGACTCGCCCACGTGAAGTCCGAGCTGCAGAAGAGACACACGTGCACAGACCTGGGTGAACTCCGCAGCTACCTTGGCTTGCAGATCACCCGGGACAAAGCACAGCGCACCATTACCCTGACTCAGTCACACATGGGGCAGCAGGTCTTTCAGCGCTTCGACTTCACGTACTCCTCGCCTCAAGCCACTCCTCTGTCTACTCGTTACTCGCTCTCAGCTCTACCTTCGGATGAGTCTACAGAGCTGAGTGGCCCGTACCTAGAGCTTGTTGGCTGCCTCATGTACCTGATGACCTGCACACGACTGTTATAGTCACAATAGGCTCCAATGTGCCTAAAACGAAAGATAGAGTGCACAGCCGGATTTCTGCACAGCGGCTTCAAACGTTCATAGCGTTCTGGTCACAACTTCAAATGACCTGATTCAACTTGGATCTGGAGCGTCTACACGTCGCCTACAATAGACAATTTAGATCGCACAATTTCACCAAGTATTGACGACAAAGTGTCGGTCTGAACGAACAGCACTATGGCAGCCACTATAGTCTTAGAACACAAAATAGGAAGAGATATGAAGAGTTACGAGTTGGGAATGACTCCCAGCTCCTACAAATCCCAAGAGCCGAGGTACAGTGATGTGGAACAGTGCCACACTGTCCCCAACCACGAAGGGTCTCGAAACTACCCTTCACTAGGGCCTACACCAAGTGAAATGTTACACTACACAAAGTAATGTAACTATCTTCAATATCTTGAGGTGTACCCTTTTGGCGAGCTTCGAAATCACTTGAGGCTTGACACCAAGGCTCAGGCTCTTCATCACAAACTCATCCTTGAGTTCTTGATGGGTCTGCTGCACACACCTGCGACACACCGAACGTTCGACACAGGACAAAATAGAAACCGCGCACGACAAAAATAGAAACCGCGCGCGAGACACAAACGACCGCGTAACACGCGTCTAGCGATAACTCGCTATTGACTCGACACACACACTCGACATCATGACTCAACATTCACACACAATTATAAGCATGAAATATATATATTATCCCATGCCCTCATACCATTCCATACACACACACATGCACGCACACGGACAACAAGCCGAGTGCAAACCGTAGGGTTGCACCAACAAACTCCCCCTCAGATTGTTGGCCTTAGGATATGTTGCTCTCTCAGTTCAGAGCCATCCCAGCCAGCTTGCAACACTTCCAATGCTGCTGCTCCACCAGCCTCTTAGTCATCATGTCAGCCGGCTGCCCCGTGGTCTTCACGTACCGCAACTCAACTTCACCTGCGGTCACCATGCTCCTCGTCCAATGCCATTTCACCCTCATGTGCTTTGTGAGTCCATGCAACACAGGGTTCTTAGCAAGAGCAATGGCACCCTGGCTGTCACAGTAGAGTGGGGTAGGTCCTTGCTGCTCCTCCCCCAATTCAGCCAACAAACGCCGCTGCCACACAATCTCCCGTACGGCACGGAAGAGTGCCATGTACTCGGACTCCACCGAGCTCAAAGCTTGGTCAACCTGCTTCTTGCTCTCCCAAGCAGTTGGGCCTCCACCAACACAGCATATGAAGCCTCCCACACTTGTCATGTCCTCTGGTTCCGATGCATATGACGCATCCGAGTAGGCGGTGAGGAACAAACGCCCGGGTTCAACACCATCCGCGCCCTTTTGGCGCCTTTGTGCCGCCGCCGAGTATTGCAGCCCAACGGTCGGTGTTTGGCCAAGATACTTGGCCACCCTCATTCCAGCTGCTACCTGCTCCTCATTAGGGCATTGCACAACCCTAGCCAGCTGCCCGGTAGCAAACGCGACGTCCGGTCGGGTGTTTACCGCCGCATACATGAGGCTGCCCACCAACGAGTGAAAACGGCGCCTCTCCTCTTCACAAACGCTCTCCTCCTCTGGTCCCTTCACACACTTGAACCCAGAGGGAAAGGGAGTAGCCACATGACCTTCACTCTGGCCGAAGTTGGCAGCCAACGCCTCCAGGTACTTCCGTTGGTGCACTCGCATGCTCCGCTTCTCCACGTCTCGTTCGATGTGGAGCCCAAGGTAGAAGTTCACGTCACCAAGGGACTTGCACTTGAACTTGTCATGCAGCTTCAGCATCACCTCCTTCACAAGGTCAGAGGAGGGTGAGAATATAAGAATGTCATCCACATAAACCACCATGAAGCTCCTCTGCTCCCCCTCGCCAAGCATGAACAAGGAGTGATCGGCCGTTGAGGGAGTGAAGCCGATCTCCTCCAACACTTCGCGCAGCTTCATGTACCATTGCCTAGGGGCCTGCTTCAGCCCATAGAGGGCCTTCTTCAGCTTCCACACTCTGCCACTACCATCATCAAACCCCTCTGGCTGCGCCATAAAAATCTCCTCCACAAGGATGCCGTTAAGGAACGCCGTTACGATGTCCATTTGTTTTACTACCCATCCTTTGATGGCGGCTCCCGCGAATAGGGTTCGCAGCGTCGTCGGCTTCACCACAGGGGCAAACAGCTCCTTGAAGTCCACCTTCTCGTTCTGCTGGTACCCCTTGGCTACAAGCCTAGACTTGTAGCGCTCGATCTTGCCGTCGGCATCCGACTTGATTTTGAAGAGCCACTTGGACGTTATCGCCGTACGCCCCTCCGGTAGCTCCACCAATTCAAACGTGTCATTCTCCTTGATGCTCTTCATCTCACTCTCCATGGCCTTCTTCCACTCCTCAGCATCACTACTCTCCAAAGCCTCCTTGAGAGTTGCTGGTTCTCCCGGCATCTCCACCGGAGAGAAGAACGCGAAGGCACACTCCTCGTAGTCACTCTCCTCGTCGTCTCCGACCATCATTGCCGCTCCGGCCAGGGCTGTCTTGCCCTGCTTTCCCAGCGCATCATAGGTCAGCCTATTAGGGGGTTGAACTCTCCTCTTCCCCCTTCCTTCCTCCTCAGCTGCAGGGACTTGAAGGCCTTGGCGTTGCTGCGGTGTGGCTCGAATCCGTGGAGCACTTGTAGTGCGGGAAGGGAGTGACGGTGCACGCTCGCTCACTTGCTGCACCTCCTCCTCTTCTTCCTCTGCATCATTGGCCTCCTCTTCCCCATTCACAAGGGAGGATTGCCTTGTGGTTGTGCTGCCGCTGCTCAGCTCCAAAGGCAGCTCCACATGCTCCAAACCGGAACTCTTCACCTCCCCAAACCGCACACCTATCTTCGCCTCATTCTCCGCCTTCCAATCCTTGTACATGAAGTTCTCCATGAACTTGCAGTCCCTGCTCACCAAGAACTTCTTGGTGAATGGGTCCCAAAGAAGCCATCCCTTGCTGTTTTGAGCCATGCCCAAGTGCACGGCCCACACCGCCTTGGCACCAAGCTTGTTGTGCCGAAGATGCTTAGGCACGAGCGCCATGCACATGCACCCGAACACCCGAAGCATATCCACCTTTGGCTTCCTTCCTAGCCACTCCACATAGGGCACCCATTTGTCTGCTCCCACATGAGTCAAAACTCTGTTCTTGGCCACACACGCGCTCCGCACCGCATCAGGCCAGAAATAGTCGGGTAGTCCGTCTTCAATGAGCAACCCAGATGCCGCCTCCGTGATTGTGCGGTTCGCTCGCTCGGCAATGCCGTTCATTCCAGGGAAGTATGGCATGGTGAGGGAGTGCCGAATACCATTCTTCTTCAGCCACAACCCAAACTCCTTTCTCAGGAACTCTCACCTTCGATCGGTGCGGATTGACTTGACTAGACGGTCTTGTTGCCGCTCCACCATCGGGAACCAATCCACCTTCAACGTTTCAGCCACGTCGCTCTTCTTGGCCAGCACGTACACCCAAGTCATACGGGTGTAGACGTCCACAATAGTGAGGAAGTACTCAGCTCCAGCAGCTCCAAGCTTCAGGGGGCCCACCACGTCCATCACCACCTCATCAAGTGGTGCCTTAGCCGTTGCCTCCGAACTAGAGAATGGGAAACGGGTGAACTTGGCTTGCATGCACGTCGGGCAGCCAAGTACCTCATCGGGCTCCCCCTTCACACGTATGCCAGCAACCATCTCATTCTTTACTAGCTGCTGCAAGATGGGCAGGGCCACATGCCCCATGCGCCGATGCAAGGTGAGCCAATCACACTCCCCCGTAGCCGAAGTTGGATTGGAGAATGCCGCGCTCGCAATAGCGCCCCACATACTCTCTCCGTAGTCCTCCTCCGCTGCTGCCTCGGGGTTCTCCTCACCCTTTTGCTGCTCCTTGGTTGCTGCAACTCTCTCCATAGGTTCACCAAGCTTGCTGGTCCCTCCAAGATTGCACTTCTTGGACTCCTTCTCCTTAGCGCGACCGTCCGCGCAATCGCTGCTACCAACCGCTCCACCTTTGGTGCTGACGCTTGCTGCCACTTGCCTCTCCTTAGGCATTGGGACCACGGGGATCTGCCACATCTCGTTGTAGACATCTCTGTCCTCATGAAGGTCCCAAAGAATCCGATCGCCAAGCCTTGCGGTGTAGGTCTTGGCTCCCTTTGAGTTCGTGTCCATGCCGGCCTTTGCCAACCGCCGCACGGAAATCAGGTTGGCAGCAAGGCTGGGCACCCAAAGCACATTCTTGAGGCCCACCATCTTCCCATCAGCACCCTTAAACATGGCCTTGCCCATGCCTTTCACCTCCGCTCGCTGCCCCAAAGCTGATGTGACATGCTTCACCGGTGACGGTTCGAGTTCGGTGAGCAAGTCCGGGCGAGGTGTCATGCTATAGGTAGCGCCACTATCGATCACCCAATAGTCCAGAGGGTGTAGAGTCACCTTCCCCACAGCTGCTGGCTCCTCAAAGCCTTCATCCTTCTCTGGACCAGTCGGTACTTGCGTCGACACGAAGTAGAATAGACCCGGGTACCGATCGTTGCTCGGGTTCTTGTCGTTGTCTCCGCTCTTCATGTTTGCAGCTCCGCCACCGCGACCGCCACGGCCTCCACGGCCTCTTCCTCTCCCTCCTCCTGCTCCTCTACCCTCTTGGCCTTGAGCAGGGGTCCAACCATCAGGGATTTTGTAGCAGTCGCGCCACATGTGTCCGCTCTTCTGGCAATAGTGACACTCGCCGTCGAATCGGCCGCGACCGCGTCCGTAGCTCTTGTCGTCGTTGCCGTAACCGCCACTCCCGCGGCCTCCGCCGAAGTTGCTGCCACCAAACCTTCCTCCCCCTCGTCCTCTACCTCTTCCTCGACCATATCCACGGCCGATGCTCGCTGCCCCAGCGCCATCCGCACTCGCCAACTCACGGCGGCGGAAATCCTCTTGAAGGATAGCTCGCTTCACGTCTTCAAGCGAGAGGCGG